GTGAAATTTAGCAAAGTGTGCATAGTAAATCTTCGTACACATTTTACAGAATAATATTTTTCGTATACGATTTATATCGTGTGTATCATACATTTATTATACATACGTAATAATTTTATTTATTTATGTAATTTCTATATAAACGGATGTTTCTACATTCATTTGTAACATCCCGACTTCGAAAATACGATAATACAATCTCTTTCGTTTCTCTTTTCTAATATCTATCGCTCTTTTGGAAGTATAACTTTTTTACTTTTTTTTTTTAACATACTTATTAATGATTATTACCACTATTTTTATAAAACACACATAAAGTTTTAGAAAAGAAAAAAAAGTAACAGGAAAAATAAAATGTAAACCAAATTAATCACAATAGATAGACAAAACCAGAAGCTAAACCGAAGAGAAAACGAAACGGAGAATATTCTCTAGACCCGTATCCGATCTTGTAGAGTGCCCTAATTTTTACTTGCACTTTTTTATACTCTCCTCGACGCCGCAGTTTCCTCCTCTCTCGTTTCGCTCACACGGAAAATCTGCAGAAGCTCTCGTAAGAATCGATCTCTCTATCAACTTCTTCTCTCCATACTGCTTCGATTTTTCGACTGATCGTATTTTCTTTGGTGTACTAGATCTGAACTCAGAATCCTCAGAGTTCGTTTCTTTTCCGTCTGAGCAATGGCTTTGGTAAGCATTCACTGTTTTTCTTAAACGCGATTATCACTGCTCAGCTAATTACTTCGTTTTCGTTGCGTTTTGTTTGATCAAAACCTTCACGAAGCATGGAAAAGTTTATTAGCTATATAGGTTTCGATCTAAGTACTTGGAGGATCTTTTCTATATCGATTTCTGTTCAGTGTTGTGTATCTAAAAGCTCATGCCTGTGTTAGGTTGAGATACGCAAGTTCTGGTGATGATTTATTTTGTGAAATCTTACTATTTCAGGTGTTGCACACATACAAGGGAAACAAAGGTGCCAATAAGGCACTTATTGCCGCTGAGTATGCAGGTGTGAAGATCGAGGAGTCCTCGGACTTTCAGATGGGCGTCACCAACAAATCCCCTGAGTTCCTCAAGATGAACCCTATTGGAAAGGTATGTAAATCCACTTTTGATTTTTTGTGTTGCAATAATTTTCTTAGCTAATGAAAGGTTATGATCTTAATAGGTTCCCGTGCTTGAGACTCCTGAAGGTCCCATATTTGAGAGCAATGCTATTACCCGATACGGTATAAGTTCATGTCCTTCTCTCTTTTTTTTTTTCTGCGCTATATGATTGATTGCTTGTAATGAATGTTTTGATCTCCCACTTCAGTGAGCCGTGTGAATGGTGACAACTCTTTGAATGGATCCTCCCTCATTGATTATGTAAGTTCATGTTTTTTCCCTGGGCTTTCTCTAAGAAACTGTTTGTTCTATTGTTTGGTAAATATTAATTTCTATGTGCATGTGTTCATCTAACAGGCTCATATTGAGCAATGGATTGACTTTGCCTCGTTGGAGATTGATGCTAACATGTTGAGGTGGTTTGCTCCAAGAATGGGCTATGCTCCGTTCTCTGCTCCAGTAAGCTTTTGCTTATTTTTTACTGCTCGTCTCATTTACTCTTATGTGCTACTGATTATCATTCTACTCCTTGTACTCTTATTAGTCTACTTCTTCTCATATTTGAAATGTTTTTTTTTGTGAATGAAGGCAGAGGAAGCTGCAATTTCTGGATTGAAGAGAGGACTTGATGCTCTTAACACACATCTCGCCTCCAACACTTACCTTGTTGGCCACTCTGTTACCCTTGCTGATATTGTCACCATCTGCAACTTGAACTTGGGGTTTGCTACCGTGATGACCAAGAGCTTTACCTCTGCATTCCCTCATGTTGAGAGATATTTCTGGACAATGGTTAACCAGCCAAATTTCAAGAAGGTGTTGGGTGATGTCAAACAGACCGAAGCTGTCCCTCCTGTTCCTTCCAAGAAAGCTGCCCAGCCTGCGAAGCCCAAGGAAGAGCCTAAGAAAAAGGAAGCCCCTGCACCAGAGGCACCCAAGTTTGCTGAAGAGGAAGAGGCACCAAAGCCCAAAGCCAAGAACCCTCTTGACTTGCTACCACCAAGCCCAATGGTTCTGGATGACTGGAAGAGGCTTTACTCCAACACCAAATCTAACTTCCGTGAGGTTGCTATCAAAGGTGTGATATGATGACTTTCCCTTTTATGTGCTTTTCCAGTCTAAATTAGGAGGATATTTGGCTTAACCAACTCACAACAACTGTAATCTGCTGCATTTAGTTCTAGGCTATATATTACGCTGCTGAACTTCTTCGAAGCTGATCAGATAACATTCTATTAAGCTCACTGCCTTCAATTGTTTATATTCAATGCAGGATTCTGGGACATGTACGACCCAGAGGGATTTTCGCTGTGGTTCTGTGACTACAAGTACAACGACGAGAACATGGTTTCGTTTGTTACACTGAACAAGGTTGGTGGTTTCCTCCAGAGAATGGACTTGGCACGTAAATATGCCTTTGGAAAGATGCTGATTTGCGGGTCAGAGGGGCCATTCAAGGTGAAGGGTTTATGGCTGTTCCGTGGACCAGAGATCCCTAAGTTCATAATGGAGGAGGTGTACGACATGGAGCTTTACGAGTGGACTAAGGTTGATATCTCAGACGAAGCACAGAAAGAGCGAGTCAGCCAGATGATTGAAGACGCTGAGCCCTTTGAAGGTGAGGCTCTCTTGGACGCGAAATGCTTCAAGTGAAAAAGGCTCTTCACACTGCCCTTTATATCTCTCTATCACCACCATAGGGTTTGGTCTGTTACTACTTGTGTTTTGATACTTTCTAGAGTCCTTATAACCTTTTGAAATCGTAGAGAGTTTGTTTTCCTTCTTGGGTTTTGAGAACTAGTTTCCTTCTCTCTGTTATTGTCACAGAATTGTTTACTTGCATATTACAACTCTTTCTGGTTTTGGTTATTATCTTTTTCTTTCTGCATTTTCAATCGTTTTCACCTTGGTTTTGGTTCCGGTGAAGATCGGTTGATTCTAAATTTGTCGAAGTAAATTAATTATTCCGATGGTAGGCTTCAGCAAGAAGCCGTGAAGTTTGCTTAAGTAATACAAACACAATTATAAATAAGCGAGTACTATGGCTACCGTGGAAGCCAAGCAAGCATAAGAATCATATCTTCTTACTGACTCTGACTTTAAGATCATGCATAATACGGAGAATGATAGAAGGTACTGGTTCGATCTTGTGACCTTCAACGACCTTAAAGTCATAGTTTTGTATGATCTCCACTGCTACTATCTTCATCTGCAAGAGAGCCAAATGTTTACGAATGCAAGCTCTCGGATCGGCATTAAAAATCAAGAACTTGTATGTAGGTTCACGTCTTATCCCTCCTTCCTCTGAAATCCATCTCTCCGGTTTGAAATCCGATGCGTCTTCTCCCCATGCAGACCTCATTCTCCCCAACGCGTAAATAGAAATTATGATCTTTGACTCAGCTTCGACTTTGTGCCCGCTTGGAAATCTTGATGGTGAAATATGGCGAGACTCTACTTCCTCAGTTCCACCCACAGCTCCAGATCAACGGCTAAGATTCCATCTCCCAAAACATCAAAAATCTTCTTGAATTCAGGTCCTTTAGGGTAATTCCCAAAGTTTGAGCTTAGTATGTGATTGATATTCCTTGGATCGGCGGTGAATAACAAGTCCGTTCCAGTGCACCATGGCCCTTTGAAAGAAAAAGTGAGACCAGTGGCCTCAAGAACCTCGACGGTCCAGTCGTAGATACGAGGGAGTTGGACAAGCATTCCAGGAGGCATCCTGAGGAACGGCCATTCCTTGAGGATAGGCCCGGCGTCAGATTTCGTGTGGAAGAAGAAACATTGGAATACAAAGAAGAAAAGGAATGCTATAAAGACTTCAAGTAAGCCTATCATCGACATTTTTACACACAAGGATTTATGAGTAAAGATACAAATGAATCATCGCTAAATTGATATGCTATATATAACCCGTGAATAGATTCAACTGGATGCAGGATTAGGTCCACCAAGGCCGGATTGGACCAAACCCCTCAAAACTCATTTATTTCTGTCTTGTATATAAGTTGGGTAACGGACTAAAATAGTCCGTAATTAATCTCTCTTTCAGTTCCGGTTGCATTGGCAATGGTATGTGACACTACATAATTTGGTCATATTTTTTTCATTAAATGCTGCCAAGAAAAATACTGTGCTATATAATTGACAACACTCTTCTACCAAAATTCTGGTCGACACTATGCAAATATTTTGTCAAAACCTTGATAGTTCAAGAAAAATTTCATGTAATACGCCTTGGATTCTCTATAAGATGGGTAAATTGGAACATCTCGTGCATCACTTCAGTCACATTCCCATCGAGAGGTTTAAGGCAGTGTAATCAATGGTGCATTACGTCAGGTACATATGAAGTGTGGATTAGATTATGTGGTGCCTCACTAGGTCGCGTGCCCTAACTTGCAACACAATAAATACATCTTCACACACTGAAAAGGGTAAAAAGAGGGTTGAACAATTTTGGGAAAAATTACTAAATGAGGGAGACCAAGTCTGCCCACATGATCCATATTAAGCA